AATATATATTTACTATTAACATTCGTTACACGATTTAATCTTAATATCGACTAATTCTAATTACCACAATCGTCGTACTGACAAGGTCCAGTTGTAATAATGGCAAGAAATGTATAAAATTTAATGGACCGAAACAATTTCTTACCATTAAAATAATTTTATTAATTTGCAAATTTTGTAATTCTCATCTTTTACTTTCCTCTCTGTTCGTCTCTTTTCATCCATTTTTAATATACTTTCCTATTAATAGACCTTCTTATTACTTTGTTGATCAGAAGTTGATCTCCAGTAGTTCACCCTTGTAAGGAAATAGGGCAGCAAAATCGCAACTACGTAGTCCGCGTAATTTCGAACTTGTGTATGAATAATTTGGGTAACAACAGTGTTCTGCCAGTTCGTTTTTGTTGTCTTTGTATTTAGAACATTTTGTTTTAAAAATTGGTTCTACTGCAGCTAAAAATACTGTTGCGGATTAGAAAACCGATGCAGCTGTGCGCTGTTTGTATTATTCAAAAAGAAAAAGAACTGCGCCTACACTATAAATCTTTTTTTACATAAATTATCGCTCAAAATGTAGCGAATTTAGGTAATTAATATCGAACTTCTAGGCCGTATGACAACAGAGGACTAAATTCTCAAAACTTCAACTTTCACGAGCTTGAAAATTCATAAGAGACGTACAAACAAACATGCAGGCAGTTTTTTACCAATATATTTTAGATATGCATAAATACAGAGAATGTGTTACCATTTTAAATAAAAATTTTTGAAAATGAAAACTTTGCATCATACGCCTCTCCTCTTCCCCTCTGTGTTCTCTCGGTGAGTAGTTCTTATTACATCACTGGTTGTGCTTTCGTATTATCAAGTGTAACTCGATTCAGATGAAATTGACGCTGTGGGAAGGAAGCGAGGTGAGGGCCGATTTGGTGGACATTCTGAGCAGGAAAATACACTGAATCAGCTTCTTGTCGAAATGGATGGTACATTTTGTTTCACTGTTCTTTTTGCTCAAAGTTCACATATGAAGATTGATGTTATACGTGGGTGCTTCTAAGTTAAAAAAATCTCTAAGGTTTCTCGACGGAGGAATCCTCAGTTATCGTGATTGCCGCAACAAATCGTCCCGATATCTTAGACGCTGCACTTCTCAGACCTGGCCGATTTGATCGGCAAATTTATATTCCCGTACCCGACATCAAAGGAAGGTTTGTATCTTTGGTATTATGCATCTGTTAGCACTCTGTTTACTTTGGTCGGCCGTGAACCATCAATGCTTTTTATGCGTTTTGTGCTGTGTAACAAAACGCATATTGTCACGGGGTTGTCTCTGTGTGTGTCTGCTGCAACTTGTCCGCAACTTTCAACTCGGGAACTACAAAAGCTAGGAAGCTGAAAATTTAGGGGGACGTTCCCCATTCACGTGTGACCCCGAAAATTTAAATTCAGCTTCCCCGTACTCGTGGGTAACACGTACGGCCCCGTGAAAGTTTT